TAATGCACTAAGCGCCTTTTCAAACAGATAAACTTGGGAAATAAATTTTTTATACCGCCTCTTTGATATTGTTTATAGACGCTAGAGAAAAAGTCAAAAATACCTTTTGAGTTGCTTGAAAGAATTCAACTGTTAAGAGGCATATCATTAAAATTCAATCAAATGTAGTAGATGAAAGTAATTTGTTATTTATATGACGTTTTTATTTACTCATTGCTATAGAGTTATGCATTGGAACAAACATAAAAACCTGAAATGAAAGTGAAGTCAATTATATAATTTATCATCAGCTTTAAACACCAAACGAATATATTACCCTTGAATTTACATAAATTAATTATAAATTTTTACAAAAAAATCTTATTAAATTTTTGCAGTGAAATAAAATTAGAAACCCTATTTCTTCGCTCTAAATGGTTGATTGAAGTATGCATGGGGTTTAAAAAAATATTACTATACTAGTAATTATTTACACACAGATTTGCTTGGGTTTTCCCTTGACTCGGGTAGACTTCTCAAAGTCGCACGTTAAACAGAACCACGGTGTGAAACATTTTCCCATGTGACGATCCAGCCCTCCAACAACATATTGACATTGTTACAATTTTCTTTATCACCAGCTTATTGTTATCGTCAAAACTTAGCCTGCAGCAATTATGTATCGTAAGCATGGTTCTTCTACACATAAATTAATGACCCCTGTGTATATTTCATTGTTGACATGTATAAAAATCTTATCAGAAATGTACATGCTGTAATTTGTAGTGATCAGCTGATAACCTTGATCCCATTTTAAGATACAGGAATTACAGTACACAGCTCTGTGTTAAAATACCTATGGGAACACGGTGTACGATTTCAACAACAAATTGTCAAAGTTCAATATATATTTCACTAATGAGTGCTAAATTAAATTGTGCTGGTTGCCTTTATTGAGGTCATTTTACTAGTTAACTTGTATTGAATTTTTTTTAATCCCCTTCTCTCTTGAAGTTTGATATTTTGCCTTAATACGAACGAAAATGTCTTTCAAAAAATTACAAGGTAAGAAATTCGTCAACTAATGAACAATGTATATATATAAGTATATATTTTGAGATAAATTATGCCTAAGTAAATCTCATTTCGCTTTCAATTATTTAATAAAATCAATTGACAAAGTACTAGAGTATGTCTTCTTTTTTTGTTTTGAACATATTTTATTGACAATATTTTTTAAAAACTTAATTTAAAATCTTAATAGTACATATAAGTAATAAGCAGCATATAAATACACTGTACAACCAAAATTCATTAACATAAAATTATATATGTAAGGAAATTTAAAAAAAAAATAACAAATTACAGAATACTGTATTTTAGTGATCAAAATTTGAAACAAGCATTCACTTTTGAGCTTATACTTGTTTCAAATTTAAATGCATAAAAAAAAATAATAGTGTATTTTTGCTTACTTAATTTTGTAGTGTAGTAAATTCTGAATTTGACGGGTGGCAGTGAATACAAAATTTAACATGCCAATTCATGTAAATTTTGTATTTACTACAACGTGGTAAATTTAAATTTACATGAAAAATTCCATCTTGAAAGCAATATACCAAATACTATTAATCATATCCAAACGTTTCTTTTCGGTAATTTATATACCTCAAACATATTTCATGTACGGTCAAATAGTTTTTTTCCTATGGTGTGTTATTTTCTTTAACGATATGCCATATTATTATTATTATAAGTAGGTTTTGGTAGAGAGGCGGGGCTTTTGAGAATGGACAACTTATACCGACACACTACTTGACCTCCATAAAGAAAGGTTTGGCATTAACTTTATTGCTAATAAATATGGTTAACTAGTATTTATATTTCACGCTTTTAAAAAGATAAGGTACACTTCACTTTCACCAGATAATTAAAAAAAAAATCCTGAAATAAATTTATCAGATCATTGATGGGAGAACAAGATCTCTATGGACTCTTCCAAGTTTCACTCAAACTTTCACTAATACTAAGTATTATTTCTAAATTTCAATTAGACCCGGGTGATCAACAATTTTAATTGATTCAATTATTTTTGTTTGAGATAATCTTTTACTTATTTTTTTATTATCATTACAGAAGTTCAAATTCTTTGACTGTGCGTCAAATATTTCATCTTACGAAGTCTTTATATATTATTTTTATATAACTTGTACTCTTTTTTTGTCTTCTAACATTAAGTCCATTTCTTGAACTACTAATCCGTTTCAGAGCATTTTCTCGTCTTCTTTTTTTCTTTTTGTAAATTAGTCTTCTAATGACATTTAAAGATAGTACGAACTTTATACCTAAAGAATTCTGTATACATAATACCGGTATATAACTGCTCTATAACTTTGAAGAATCCTGTATGCTTTATTTTCCTCAAGTTCTTGCAAATGGTGTTCATTATCATTTTTTGTCTAAAATTTATTGCTTTCTGGTAGAAAATTATGTATATCTATGTTTAAATTTTGAGTACAGTTGTGCCTTGATCTCTAATGGAGCTAATAAATGAAGTCTATTTTTCCTTGCTGTTCATTCCATGTTCATTGTGTATACTTTTATGTGGATCATGAATGAAATAAATTTTCAGCCATATTTGCTAGTGATATTAATTATTATAATTATAAATACGTAATTTTGAAATCTCTTGCATCCTTGTAATCTTAACCTTGCCAAAAACCGTATAACGGTTGGTGCTATGGCTTTCATATTTCACACCCCTATTCCTTGTGACAGAACCTTTCTTTTACACTATTATCATTTATTTCTTTCCCTTCACCTCAGAGTTTGACCTTTCTTAACCTTGGCAGTAACTTATGAGCGATTGGTATGAGTGGCTTTTATACTTTACATTTGTAGTTCTTGTTACAGTATCTTTCTCTGTGTAGCAACGTTTTTGACCTCATGACCTTTCAATTGACCATAGAGTTTGTCTTTTGAAAACAGAAGCTTATAACATTGGATATAATTGCTTGAAATTAATGGTGCAAGGGCTTTCATATTTCACACCTAATATTTCTTGTGACAAGATCTTCTTTGGGTAGTACCATAATTTTGTCCTCAGGACTTTAACCATGGATTTGGCCTACACTGTACGTTTTGAAAAACTTTAACATTGGCCATATTTTCTGAATGGTTGGTAGTAAGTCTGTTATAATGCACCTATATATTCCTTGTGGCGAGACTTGTCTTTTTGTGAAACTATTATTTTTGAGTTTTGACCTCACAAACCTTACCTCTGAGTTTAACCTGTTTTTAAAATCTTTCACTTCGGTCATATGAGTTATCATCTGTAGGCACGAATGTTTCACAGAACGAAGGTTTTTAGAAAATTCTGGAGAATTCAACATTTAATTGCATGCAATAAATCGATTCCAGTAATTTTAACATGTTTGTTGTTATTGTTTAACGTATTGTTTAATAAATAATATAAAGATAACCAAGTTGCATATTAATAATGTAATACAATATATTGGATAGTGTAATGCCACTGGATACAAAAACTTATTAAGCATAATTTAGAGCGACTTTAGTAATTGTTCACTTTTTTTCTGCACTAAAATTTGATAAGAGTTTAGGATTGTCTAGTGCCTTAGCTACTTGGCAAGAGGAAATATTTATTTTCGCTATAGAGAATATAGATATAAGATAAACTGAATGTAACAATCGTTTTGAATGTGCATTAACGTTTTTAAACAGCTAAAGTAATTTAGGTGAGTTTTTTTTATCCTTCACACAATAAGAAATAAGATCGCATATATTTCGGTTAGATTACTAAAAATCTGATTTCGGAGCTTTTTTATACTACCAGCGCGGGAATTAAGCTGTTGAATAGAAACGCGAGGATATGAGAATTTCAGCAGCAATTTGAGGCATTTAGGCGGTGTATTTCGGTGTAATTTCTACACAGCTCCTATTACGGATGCGCGGCTTTCTGTTACAGAACTATAGCTTGTTCACGGACCCCCGCGAGATTATTCAGGCCTTATCTATGTATTACAGAGATTAACATGTACATGGTTTATATCCCCAGTCGACACCCTTGATACGGGATTTAATCCTGACACAGATTCATGAAATTTTCAGTCTGGGGACTTTGTATAACTTCTCATTTGGAATCGGCTCATTTACCATAAGGATAAGATAATCATGGAAAACCTAATTAAGGAATATTAGATTATTTTAATGGCTTAACAAACTAGTCGATTTGACTATTGAAATCTTATGGTGAATACACAAAGATGAAGTTATTTCCTCTTTTATAATTACTGAATTATTATTACTTTTACTTTTAAAAATTCTAATACTCAGTATTCTAATGATAAAGTTTTCAAAAGGATAGAATCAAATAGAGAATTAAAAAATAAAATGCAAAAGTAGAGAAATCTGTCAAAGAAATACCGGTATACTTTATTTCAGAACACAGTCATGTCTAAATCTCTTTAAAATTATGACACATTCCTGCATTTGTGACAATTTATTTTATTTCATCATTTAAGGAAAGCTTTCAAAATTTTATTTTTTTCTCAAGGTTACAAAATGATCCTTTTATGATGTTAAATATTTTTTAAGATGTGTCAGAGTTTAAGTATCATCTAATTGCCATAATTTTTTTCAGACACTATCACGGAGGTATTTTTTATATGAAAATTTTTAAAACGTTTGAGATTTTCGATATCTCCGAATTTTATGATTTGTGTTGTAATTTTGTCATTTTTTTATGGGAATACATTGGCGGGGTCCTGACCAAGCTGTCACAGGGAGACATGTGTTGTACAGTGGCTTCACGGAGAGACATGTGTTTTACAGTGGTCGCATCAGGAGCCGTCCGGAGAGTGACATATGTGGGATGTCGCCTCCAAAACGGGCACCTGTTAACCACCGTGCTTAACGCCAAACAAATTGCTGATAATTTACAGATTGAAATCAGATATCTAAAAAAAGTTTTGAAAATGTTCCACTATTTCTTATCTTTGAAGAGAACACGGTCGCTGCACTTGGCTATACTGGGAATTCGGAAGAAAAGCCAGACCCACGAGAAACGGGGAACCCGCCAAAACTTTGGTCTCACCAAACAAACAAAAAAGCTGTTGGAAATCTCAGATATGGTCGTGATTTGTGCTTTGTACATGATATATACACCCAAGAAAATGAAAAATAGTGCAATGATAAGAAATAAATTAAGTCATTATTTCTTGATTTTGAAATGGGTGTGTGGTTCAATGTGCCTACCATTTCAAAACGTGGAAAAATGTCTGCGTTCAAATTACTTTAATTTTCTTGCACCGAAATTAAAAAAAAAATAAATTGAAGTGTAGTCTTTGTTCTTAACCTGTTGACACATTTATCAAAAGACATGGAGCAGCATATTGCAGCATGGCAGTTGTTGTTTGTCAGAGTACCTCGGTAGATGGCGCAGAAGATAAGCCTTTCATCTGCAGGGTTTCTGGGACCCTGAAACAGAAATCACGACGAGGCGGAACCCAGCCTCCTCAAACCCAGCATCCACGCTCACCCCCCACTTCAATTTGATAAAATCTATTAAACGACTTGGGCTTGCGTTTCAAATTTATTTTTCAGATGGAAAACATTCATATTTAAACTGGAAATGCCGGATATTCAAACTGATTTTAAAACTTTTTCTGAAAAAAAAAATCTGAACAAATATTCTCTCACATATGCTAAACGACATTCTTTTTTTATGGTGAGCTTATTATAAAATTGTCAAGCGATGAATCGCTACAGTAAAATTGACCCCTGAAGTGGCATTTCGGCTTTTTGGTCTCCAATCCGTGGGCTTTTCGCATGGTTATCTATTAAACATTTGTAACGGGCTGGTCACTGCTTCAATTATCTCTTCTCATCGCCAGGAGTGGCCCGAAGAATTTTTCACACAGGAAAAAAAACTTGTTTATGAATGAAAAGAATTGAACAAACTGAAAATTGCAACAACAGTACGATATACCCTCGATACCCGGCGATAACCCCGGGACCTTCTATACATCGCAGGCGGCCGAGCAGAAAAAAGAGGTGCAACAGTAGTGTACGACCTTAACCGCTGATCACTGGGAGAAGTATTGTCTCAGAGATAACTGTCGCATTCGGTGTAATTATGATCCTCAATTCACCAAGATTTCCCTTATAATGTTCTATTCTCTCAATGAAGTCATCATTGTTTAATACACTGAGAGGTTGGTAACCCCGTGTATCTTTTGCTTGTAATAACTCCTCGAGATTACCAGGGCGATATAATGGGGATAAAAAGTCTATCTTTACCTGTTGTTTAGTTTATTTAGAAATCATTAAATACTTTTGTCAGTTTTTGCGGATTCCCACGGAATTTCATTTCCCAAGCCACCAATAGATTCATTTAAATGCTATCCTTTGCCTTCCCAGCTACAGTGCGGCTTGTTCGCCAATGAATTTAAATGGGAATATTGTTCTCGTTCGTTGTTCCTCCATACAAAGGCATATTTAAGAGAGGAGTTAAATAAAATGTAGATAATTCAACATGACCCCTGAGCGATGGTATGGGAAACTTTTCCGTTCTTAGAGATTATTTGACATATAGATGGCATTAGAGGCAATTTTCTCAGTTAATCTGTCGATGAATGACACATGTATAGTGATGAAAGTCACCCAGATTACAATTGTTGTCACGTTGATTTGGAGATCATTGCATATTTGAAATATCTGTCATTGCAATTTACATATACTACATATACACGTATAGATTTCTTATAATACTTACCGTTAATTTTTTTCAACAATCGTTTGCGTATAAATTTGAAATATTTTTTTTACCAATATAAGATGAAAATATAATGTACCATTTATTATTATTAATTTCAAATTTCGCTGAGCATAAATAATAAAGAACTTTTTAACCCCCAAAGATATATACCAATAGTGCATTAAATGAAAATGATACTCTAGATCCGAAAGGTGATTGATCACGACTTCGTTATAAAAAAATACAGAATATGATTTAGAATGCACTGAAGTGCGTATGTATGCTTTTAGAAATGTCACATTTTTTTCTTTAAAAATGTTGTGTGTAAAATTTTGTCTTAATCTGCAGTCATCATTTGTCAAATATGATTTATTAATTCAAGACCAAATGAGTCGTGAAATGTCATCAGTTTTAAATATTTTGCGCATTACGTGTGTTTTTCTACAAGTTATTCTATGTACAAATCGTTTCTTTAAAAATAATTAAAGGACAACCTAAACAATCCATTTTAGTACAAATGCACTGGATTTGATTTTCAAAATCATTTTAACATCTTGCAAAACCTTGAGGATAGAAAATGCCTAAAAAGATCTAGACGTTTTAGTCGATTGAGTCGTTTAGCGAAAAAAAAAATGAGCGACTTAGTGGAAAATTGTGGTCATTTTAGCGGAATGCAGCGAAGACGTTTCTGGGATATTTAAGTGGAATCAATTTTAGGATATTTTAGCGGAATAAAAAATTGTACATGTATGTTTAAATTTTAGCGGAAAGTTAAATTTGATATATTCATAATTTCATTCTATTTCCGTTAACCAGACTCAGTCTTTCGTCCCCTTCCCACCATGAAAGTAATATTGCATGATTGCATGATAGTAATATTTTAAGCAGGATAATATTCAAGGATCTGCATACTAGTTATAGGCAATTGCTAAAATGTACTTATTTTTTCCTGGAAAATATCTATGCATTCTTAAACATTTTTGCAACTCCGTTAAATTGTCGGTAATGTGATACGGACCTCTAAGAACATCAGTTGCGGGATCAGGTGCCATGGAGGAGTAAGCATTCCCTGTCGACGATACACATCTGCCTCGTGTGCTCTTTGTCACGTATCTGTGTTAGTTTCATCATGCTTGAAGCGATTTTTTATTCAATTCCAGAAATTTTAAAATTAGACCCAACGGTCGATTTTACAACTGCTTGCAGGCGCCCTGCATTCCGTGTGAACTCTGCAAATCGGCTGTTATTTTATGCTATCAGATTTTAAAATCGCTTTATTACAATTTGATGTAATACTTTTAATCCCCAGTATTTGTGCCTTATATCAATTATGGAAATTTTTAGTAATACTGGTTACAAGATTCATAGCCATCATTCTCTTGTCAACGTTAAAACTGTCAAATATAAGTGCCATATCTATATAATTAACAATTTCCATGTAGGTGTAAAAGCTATTATTTATTTAAAAAAAAAGTTTTTAAAAAATCATTACGCAACAGCAAGCCATGCATATGTTATAAAGTTTCGAGGTAGTATTCTTTTGTAATCATAGCTTTGTCATGTTGTAAATTTTGATTTTACCGGGTGGCAGTAAATACAAAAATTTGTCATGTTTTAAATTTTGCACTTACTAGCTGCCACGCACCCGGTAAATTTAATTTTAAAATGACAGTTCATTATGTGCTTGCGATTCAGCTGATAAAAAAGTGGGAAAAAATACACACTTCATCGTTTCATTTTCAGTGTTCATAATATTTATATTTTGTAAACACTTTCAATTTATCGGACAACTATTAACAAACCAATAAATGACTTGAGAAAAATTAACATAACTAAGACATTGATATACAATTAACCCTAGATTTTCTCTGATCAAAAATTATTTTGGTTTGAATAAAAACATACAAAATGAAGTACATTGTAATGTTATATACATGTATATATATTGTTTATGGGTTCTCAAAGTAAAATGATAAATTACATTTTTTTCAATTATTGCTTAATAACCAATACCTGGTATTAAGTAATACTTAAAATTTTCATATTTAACGTTTAGTCTCCATCCTTCAAACACACAGGGAACAACACTGCAAACCTTAAAAAACTTATACTTTTCGAGACCTTGCAGTCTTCGTAAGCCTTTTAATCTATCAATGTTTACCCTATGCACTACTGCCTCTTCTTCTGGTGTATACTCATAGGGGGCAATCAAACAGATTTCATGTCAAAATAAAATCCAGTTTTATGTACACACACCTGTTTGCTGCTCTCTCTCGTGTTAATTTTTCTCGCCGAATGTTCTCAGCAATATTGTTACAGATTTATGAGTCTGAGTGACATTTCTAACACCAGCTAATTTCTGCGTGGGCCCATTCCAAGTGACCGTACCCCTCTATAATATATACTCACTGCCTGAAAAATGATTGCAAGACATTACCAGTTTCTTCACTATATACACAATTTACGAAGTTGACTATCCTCTGTGTATTTTTTTTTAATCTGTAAATCAATTATATAATGGGTTCTTCGTGTTGTCTTTATTTGCAAGCTATTTATTGCACTTCCTTACAATAGATTCATCGCCACCAAGTTTCAGCAGCGTGAGAAAGTGTCGAGGTTGATTAGTTTGGGTGATTAGCATGACCAGTAAAATGGCGATAATGGGGTGCCGAATGTTGATGAGCGATGGCCAGTGACAAGTACGATATTACTTGCAATGACACTTTGCCGACACCTTCTGAGATTGTAGATTATTTTAACGTTATTAATTAGTGTCAGCTTGCTCTGCTGATAATTGGAATTCAGTGCATTCAAACTATTTTTGCCAATTGAATGGAATCATTTACAAAGCCGGTAGAAATCAGAAATACCATTCTTTTGAAATAAGTTTTTATTTTCTTTTTTTCATAAAAAATCCAAGAGATATTAATTGACAAAATATATAAAATGTGCCAATGTTTATTTCTTTGAAAACGTTCGGTCATCAAAAAATATATATCTACACAAACAAAACTATAAAAATAAGAAAGCGTACATACAATAATTCAGAAATAAATAAGATCCAAATAAAATAGTGTCAGGGGGCATTCACAGAAGTTTGCTCGCTGGTATCACAAATTACCGCATACTCTGCAACTATTAAGTTTAATTGATTATATGTTGTTTAACGTCCCTCTCGGGAAATTTTCACTGAAATGGAGACGACACCACTTGCCGGAGGAGAGCTGCAAATTTTGTCCTATACTCGACACTTAGGGCCCTTGAGCAGTGAGGGATCTTTTTCGTGCCAACACCTGCGACACGGGTCCTCGGTTTATACGGTCTCATCCAGGACAGGTCTCCACGTCCAACAGTAGGATTCGAACCCGCGACGTAAGGATCCACTCCTTACTTCGCGACTCATTTAAAAATACTTTTGGAGTAGACCCAAAGAAAAATAAAATGCCAGGTAATACATCTAAATGAAATAAATTAGTGATATTAAACTAAGTAAGATTATAACAGTCTGTTATCGTAATCATAATTCTGAATCATGGAAACTGATTTGTTTTAAACTTTTTCCCGCATTATTTTTTAATTTAAGTTTATTTCGGAATTTTCTCATCCCATCAAGGACAATTTTTATTTTATGCACACATTCAATTTCAATAAAGAAGATGGACGAAGAAGGAGGGCAAAATGCCTATGGCGCGACCAAAAAAAAAAGTGAAAAATGAAATATTAAAAACAAAATTGTACTTTAAAACAT